AACTGTATAACATAATACTTATCACACCTTGCGAAATCAATCATTACACAACATATATTTCATCTTTTACCAGCCTACTAGTATCCATGGGGATCCATAGGGGTCCTGCTACCCGTGAACCCTTAACGCTTGTAATCAGATTTCCAGGGCCGTCCCCATACTCCGTCCGGTATGGGCGCCAAACTATAAACCTCAATACCCCGTCCGGTATGAGGGTGAAACGGGCCGTCCCCATACCCCGTCCGGTATGAGCGCCAAAACACATAGGGTCTCCATACCCCGTCCGGTATGAGAGACCACAATCCCGGTAGGGTTCCCTACGGACCCGGTCCGTCCACCATCTCCCAGGATATCTAGTCAGGCTGATCACATTATACAATTATCAATTTACATAACCTTTCATTCCCCTTTTCCTCAGTCAACATCATCAATTTACACACAAACAAGCAAAATAGTAATTTATGCCAAACAAGACAACATACAGCATCGGTTTCTCAGTCATTCAACCCATAATCAATAAAACAGTAAAATATGCATACGAAACTATGAAATGAAAACATCAGACCTTATACTGCATTTAAAACTGTAAAATAGGCCAAATAACAGTTAACCGACAAACACACTAGACTCGGGCTACATTAGCGACCTTAAGCAATTTCACACATTCGTTGATTCAAGAAATACCGTTTTATCATTATTGAACTTTAATACCGTGATAGAAAATAGGGTGAGGGGTCCTTACACGTTTCGGGGTCCGAACACGGCTCCACAGTGCGCCTACAAGCTGTCCCTAATTTTCCCTGAATTTTTTCCGGGGAACTGAAACGCACTACTGGTACCTGCACGTGTTCCAAAAAATCCCAAATTAGACCCAGGACCCCTTTCGGCCAATATTGCAATTCTGGCACGGCGGCTCCGCCGTGCTCCGGCGACGGCGCCGCCGCAAGCGGCGGCAATTCGCCTCGGGTTGGCCGTTTTCGGCCACACTTATATCGGTCCCTGTGATAAAACAACCCTAGGGCCCTTGGGGGGCCAAAAAATTACGAAAAACCGAAGCTTACCGGCGGCGGTGCTCTCGAGTGCGGCGACTCTCCGGCGAAGTTCGTGTTTTGGTGATTCGGTTCCGATCAAACTGTAGAGAAAAGAATGGTGATCACGGTGATATAAAAATTGCATCAAACGGAGGCCGGGAAGGGCCTCATCGGAGGCAAAAACCGAGGAGGGGCGCGGCGGCGCCGCTGGGTTTCGGCCGTGTTTTCCGGCCGTTTGGCCGGGATTTTGGCTCCGATTTGGCCACAGGGGAACTCAGCGTGGAAAAACGAGTCGGGGGTATGAAATTTACCTCGATCGGCGGTCGGAAAACTCCCCGGTGCGGCGGCGGGTGGCGGCGGCCGGCTCCTCCGGCGTCTGGTTCGTCTTCTCCGGCGAGGGCAGGCGGCTAGGGTTTTTGTGGTCGGTGTGGGGGTTCTATTTATACCCTTTTGCCTTTTGATCTCAGCCGTCCATTTTGATTAAATCTGGGCCGTCCGTTATTGATTGAATCTGGGCCGTCCGTGCGCGTGCATCTGGGCCGTCCATGCGATTGCATCTGGGCCGTCC